TAAATTTCTACACCTGTCACAGTTGTTTTAAATATTTGATATAAATTCACTCTGGTTCTTAAAAGAAGAAGACAACAACAATCTATTTAGGTCTATATTTGATGACCGATTAAAGTTTTCCAAAATTCTTTAATGATAAATGATACAGAAATTAAATGTTATCGAAATTAGTCTATGAATAAAAGCGTTCAATATAATGAATTGCAATTTTTAGTAGCTTTATAGAAGAATTCGTGCACGCGCAAACAGCCTTATATACCATTCTTTCAATTTAGTTAAATTAGAAATATTCTACAGACTTCAGACTGTCAAACACATTTGAACGGCTTTCAAAACGTACTTTTGCCAGGAAATTAATTAAGAATAAATAAGAAAAAAGAAAAGAAGAAGTACGTGTAGAAACAAACAAACGAAAAAGAAACATACAATTTAGAATTGTTGATGCATTTCGCACACGGAATGCAAAGATAATTTGACCAAACGGTAACCGATCGGAATTTTGTATCTATTAAAATTTCTACCATTGTTAATGTTAAAGTAAGGAAATTAAGATAATTAAATGTACTTAATTGTTGATTTTTTCAAGGAAATGGACATCAAGAAAGTGCTTGGGCTTGTAGTTCTTATCGCTCTACTTATCATTGCTGAGGCTGGTAGTCGCCATGGTGGAAGGGGTAAATGTTACGGACCACGACCTAGACGCTCTAATTGCTACCGGGCCGACCATCTTTGGCGCTACGACGGCAACAGGTGTGTCAAAATGCGAGTGAATTGCTACAACGTCAGACCACGTGATAACGCATTCAGAAGCAGACGAGAATGTAACCGGATGTGCAGACATGGTCACCATGGTTAATGGTATTCCAGGAAGACGTTTAAAAAATAACAAATGTAACATAAATTACAGTCATTTGTTGATGAATATTAATGGTTATAATTGATTTGAAGATTTGAATTGATTAAAAGTGTCAAACTACAAAATATTGTAATACTCGGTATAGGACGGGGTGGTGTGTAGTCCACGGTATTATGATTAAATAGGTATATTCTTGAATGGCCTGTACGCAGATTTATACTAATAATGGAATTAAGAAAAGACTTCACCCTGTGGTTATTTATCTGCTTAATTTAGCTCAATCTGGGTATGTCCAATTTAGTGGTGTAATACCTTTTACTGATTATTTTATAACAACAGCATTTAAAACATTTGTATATTTATTAAACAATAACTGTAATAAGAAATTATATTTGAACACAACAAAACTTGATTCTCTTTATTGTTCTTATTAATAATATATAAGTGATGTTAACTGTCTTTTCGCGGAAATGGTGCCTTTTCGTTTAATATATAGAGGATACCATAGAAGAATGGTTACGGGTGCGCGGTTACGTATATGTTTAATCAATTAATGTAAAATCAAGAGAAAAAGTTACGCCGTAACTAGAATGTAACAGTTGCGCACACAAAGATACACAGTAACTATATAATGACTTAGTTCACCTTGGTTACGGGATGGTAATTAGTTACGGACAATTTACAAAGTTTTCCTAGTGGACCAAATGTTTTCTTGACATTGGTTACGCTTATTCGAACCAGAACCGCCAAATGAAGTTTTTTTGCCTCTATTTATAGACTTGTTATCGCGTATGAATTCCGTACCGTAACTAGAAAGCAGTCTATGAATTCTATTGGTCGAGCCTTCCTGGAATTGGTTGCGGAATGCGTTATTTGCCTGGAATTCATACACTTCAAAACTACAGTTCCGTAACCAACTTGCGTAACTCAAATTAAAAGTCATAAAATACTTTTGCAAGTAAACTAATCATTAATTCAGTATTTGCAATAAATTATATGTCAAAATATCTTTCTGTTATTTAAAAATCTTTCCGTATAATAACTAGCGTTTGGGCACTATTTTTGTACACAAACATTTGCAGACATCGTGACAGTATGAAAACATACACAAATATAAGCTACTCTCTGGATGTTACAAGTTCATTCATAGTTGACATGAATAAAGTAAGGTCTATAGTTTACATTTGAATAGATATTGTTTTTAAATTGACTTTATGTTATAGGTTACGGATCATTTGTAACATATTTCCGCGATCTTTTAAAAGTCGTCCCAAATTAAGCACAACACATAACATAGCTGTATGAAGTTTATTTAGGCAACCATTTCCTAACACTTCCCCCACCTCAGTTTCAAATTATCCTCCTGGATAATAACCAGTTGTTTTTTTTTTCTCTCTGTTCTACTTACATTTTTTAAACTTATGGCATTTAGTAATGAGAACACATTTAGTATTAAGAAATACTGAACAATTAAAATATTAAACTATTAAAAGAAATACTTTAAAGTCATTTAACTTAATTAACAACACTATACACTAGCATCAAGTTCCAGTCATTATCTTCCATTTACTATTTCACTTCTATGCGTGTATTTAAATATATGTTCTTTAGAAAACCTTAACATAAGAAATATTAATTGTAACTTTAAAACACAACTCTTTTTTTTTTATTAAAACTATAAGTTTTTATGTCTGTGTAATATTAACACAACAAATTAATAATTTTAGGCACTTTTCATAATGTTGTATGTTTAGCTTTTCACTATTATTGATCACTTTAGTTTTGATCCACATATGATTCCCCGTTTTGCAATTGAAGTGGTGTGGTGAAGGTGCTTGGATCCAGTGGTAAATTTTGATAATTTGTAAATGATTGTAATGCCTGTAACTGTTGGATCTCGGCAAATGATGGTTTCTTCCCAGCTGCTACTGCTTTTAGAAATTTAAAGTTATGAAATCGTGCCCTTGTTATATCATCCTCTGCTGGCTCCTTGCGATATTTTAGAGCTCCTGGCAACATTAGAAATTTATACTTGTCAAGGAGGTAGCACCTTGACATCTCTGGAGCAACTTCTCCGTAAAAGAAAGCCTCTAGAGTCATGGCCATCATCTCTACAGTAAGTAACCTTTTGTCTGGCGTCATGTTGAGCCATCCTTTAGGCGGCCATTGTACCACCTTACCGTTTCCTAAACTTATCTCCTCGAGTGTGTTAGGTCCCCATTGACGTCGTGCTGGAGGACACAAAGGCATGGCACCTTTCCTCAAAATATAAATTGCTGTTTCCATATGATTCAGCTCTTCTGACTCATCTGCTACTTTGTTTCGCACTGTTTCTATGACCTCAACCCTCTCTTGATCTTCAACTGTTTCCGTTACCTGAACACTTCTCTGTTCACTATTCAGCTTTCCTGATTGTTTTTCGTCCTTATCGATTTCATTATTTTTGTCATTGTTATTTGTGTCTTTTATTTTCCTCCATATGTTGTCTTCTCCTCTTTTCATTCCCATAGAGTCACCTTTTTCATTTAATATTACTTCTCCTCCATCAATTACACTTACTCTTTCTTTTGTCTGTTTAGTGAATTTTACTTTCTTCTGTTCATTTTTGTAATTTGTCTTTCTCTTTTCCTTGTGTTTGGTTTTGACTTCTTTTTCTATGATTTCATCTTTTGTGAGCTTTTGTGCTAGAAATTGACTTACAAAATCAAGTTCACCTTCAAGCTGGTCAATTAAGGTTTCTTTTTCTTCATTTTCATTACCAATATCATCATTAACTTCCCTTTCATCTATTGCTTTCTGTACTTCTTTTACCTGTTCCTTTCTATCACCTATTTCTACTTTCTCTGCCGCATTACCAATTCTTGCTTCCTGCTCTACTTTCTCATCATATCCAACCTTTACATTTTGAACCATCTCCTTCTCTACCATATTTATTCTGCCAACACTTACTTCTTCCAACAACTTCTCTGTACCTACAACATTTCTTTCACTAAGACTCATTTCACCTAATAATTTTCCTGATTCTTTAGTCACTGTCACACTTCTACCTTTACTCACTTCATCTGCTTCTTTCCCAACTTTGTCTTGACCCTCTTTCACCATCAAACGCCTTACCCCATTTTCATCAAATCTAGTGACTACCACATTTACATCCTCCTGTCTATTTACTTTCTCATGTTCAGCCTCACTCATTGGAGGGGTCTCGTTATTTGGAATGTTTGGTATCATCATGTTTATTGGATCTGTTTTAAATAGTTCATCATAAACTGCCTTTGTTTCTTCCAATGTTCCTTTTGGTTTTCTTCTCTTTGCAGGTGCTTCAGTTTCTTTTATGTTCTTTCTCTTTTTGTATTTCTTAGTTTCTTTTTCAGCTTTGATTTCCTTTTCTCTCTTTTCAATTCCTTCAGCAATGTCTAACCCTGCCTTCCAGCCCTCTCTTATCTCTTTTCTCAGTGAATCTTCTGCCTTAATTGCCTCTAGGAGATTCATGACCACCCGCCTTGCTTCAATTGCGATTGTACTGTCATACTTCTGAATTTTTGTCATAGTTGCATAATCTCTTGGATATACCGCTAGGTAGAAACAATTTGGAACAGACAGAAAACCATCAGGCATCAAACTATACTCTCTGAAATGGACTGAGTCACAGTGTCTACTTAAATCACTAACACGTGTAAACACATTAATTTTCCTGCACCAAGGGCATCGAACTGATTGTCTCCGGTGTGTGGCGGAAGACATATGATGGAATAATTCTTTCTTTTGTTTGAATGTCTTCGTGCATAGACTGCATTGTAAACAGTCACTGCCACTGTGTTCATCACTCATTGTCTGTAATAAAATAAAATGAAATAGTGTTGTTTTTATTATTTTTCATTGTTATCACTCATTTTAAATTGTTAATCAAATGTATGTGTTTCTGTAAGTTTGAAGATTTTAAATAGCTGGACTATTGTTTATTTATTTATTTAATTTTTATATTGTTTCTTGTTACTTTATACTTTATATATTTATTTTATTGTGAATGCTCTCTTTACAAACATCACTTAATTTTACAATATCTGTGAGATAAATTTCATAAATATGTCTTTCAAAACAAGATTATAGTAGTTTTTTTTTAACAATTTGTTTTAAATTGCAACTGTTACATTCGAGCTTTTTCGCGCGTAATCCATAATGGAACATTTACTCCGGAGTACGGCCAAAGTCTATCGATGTGGTATGCTTTCGGTTTCATTAATTTTGAGCGCTTAACGAGGCAGACAATGTCATCTAATACTTTTGTGATTAAGTAAGGACCTTTCCATTTATTTATCAGCTTAGAGCACACACCTTTGTGTCTTGTAGGATCATGCAGCCAAACACATTGACCGGCATAATAATTTCGTTGTCTTGCATTAGTATCGTAATGTCGTTTTTGATATTCGAAACTTTTCCCGATATTTTTTCGAGCGAAGTCATGAATGCATTCTAGATTTGTTCGTAACTCATTAACATAGTCATCAACAGTTTCTGTTTTATTTCTTTCAGTGATTGGTCGACCTATTGCAGCCGCCATAGGGAGAGTAACATTTCGCCCATAAACCATTTTATTTGGAGATATTTTGGTACTTGAGTGACTTGAACTCCGATACGCCATCATTAATATGGGAAGCAGTTTGTCCCACTGCTTTTGAGATTCTTGACAATATTTAGATATCATAGACACCAATGTCCGATTAAATCGTTCCACAACCCCATTGGCTTGTGCTCGCATACTAGTAGCATGTGTTTTTTCGATAGTTAATAATTCGCAAATTTCACTAAGAAGTTTTGATTCAAAATTGGAACCTTGATCCGTGTAAAGTTGTAAAGGTACACCAAAACGACTCACAAAATTATCAATGAATGCATTCATGCAATTGTTTTTGCTTCTTGGTTTGGCAACGGAATAGCTTCTGTCCATTAGTAAACCAGTCTGCTAATAACTAAGATATCATTTATTGCCTTTCTTGTTGTAGGCATAGGACCTAATATGTCCATCATTACACGTGGATCCATTGGCTCGCCAACTGCATATTTACCTAATGGTGCTTTATTTGTGATTTTTGAAAGGTTACGGGACAGTGCATAAGGTCACATTTATTGCAATAGTCTTTAAACACGACATGTATTCAGTCATGCCAGGCAATAAATGTTTGTTTTTATTTTGTCGTTAGTTTTGTTAAAGAGCCTAAATGTCCAGCTGTTGGTGCGTCATGGTAAAAGCACGAAGTACTGGTTGAACGTTTAAAATTGAATTGGGTACAACTAACTGCCAAATGTGTGACTTGGTATCGGTGTCAAACCTACGATATAACATTCCACCTTTCACAGACAGTCTGTCCCATTGTCGCCATAATGTTTTCAATTCGGCCTTACCAGCAGAAACTCCTGACCACCGAGGACGATCTAAATTATCTAACTTAGCAGCAAGTATTGGCGAGATAGATGAGTCATTCAACTGAGCAGTTTGTATGTCGACTGGAGACCACCCATCTAATAATATATGATTTTGAGTAAGATCCTTATTTTGAGCTTCTGCTTGATCAGCCCTTGTTGTCGCCCTGACTTCAGCTTTGGTTTTACAATCTGCTTCACCATTTTGGTTTTCAAGTTCTTCGTCAGGCACATTGTCATTAACATTAAGGGAACTATATGAAGTTGTTGGATGGTCTGTTTTTATTGATAAGCTTGCAGACTCTGTATTGACGCACTCGTTATTCTCATTTAAGCTCTGCTGTCGCGAACATGTGCTACATGGTTTCCTTGATAAAGCGTCTGCGTTACCATGACTACGACCAGGCCTGTGAATAACGTTCATACTATATGTACTTAACTCTTGTAGCCAGCGAGCTGTTTGACCAGTTGGTGCCTTCAAGTTACGCATCCAGCTTACAGCTGAATTATCAGTGCGGAGTAAAAACGTGCGACCATATAAATAGTGGTGGAAATGCTTGAGAGCTCTTACTACAGCCAAAAGTTCTTTTCTGGTAATACAATAAAGTCTTTCGTGTTTGTTCATGGTCTTGCTCATGTATGCGATCACATGTTCTTTGCCTCTTATTACTTGCGACAAGACAGCCCCTGTAGCATGATCACTAGAGTCCGTATCTAGAATGAAGTCGCAACCTGGCTGTGGGTATGCTAGAATTGGAGCAGTGGTGAGAGATTCTTTAAGTTTGTCGAATGCTTTTTGACAGTTTTCCGTCCACGAAAATCTTGTGTGTTTTTCACATAACTTGTGTAATGGTCTTGCTATGTCAGCGTAACCTTTGATAAATTTTCTATAGTAACCTGTGAGACCCAAGAAGCTTCTTACTTGCTTCTGAGTATTTGGTTTTGGCCAATCTTTAACTGCACTTATTTTGCTCTCATCAGTGTGGATGCCATCTTCAGATACCACATGACCTAGAAAGGTGATTGACTTCTGGAAAAAGAGGCACTTTGATGCTTTCAATTTTAAATTGTAGTGTTGGAGACGTTGGAACACATTCTCCAGCCTTTCTAAGGATTCCTGTACAGTCTTTCCTGGTGTGATGATGTCATCCATATAAAGTAAAGACTGTATCCATTGTAGTCCCCTGAGTACATTTTCCATTAACCTCTGAAAAGTTGCCGGACTGTTAACGAGTCCGAACGGCATGACTTTGAAGTGGTACAAGCCGTTAGATGATGTTGAGAAGGCTGTCTTATGTTTGTCACTTTCATCCATCTTCACTTGCCAAAATCCACTACAAAGGTCCATACTGCTGAACCATTTGTTTCCAGCCAGTGCCTCCAGACAATCGTCAACGCGAGGAATGGGGTAGGCATCCACCTTGGTAACTAAATTTAATTTCCTGTAGTCGACGCAAAATCTGGTGGACCCATCTTTCTTCGTTATAAGCACAATTGGCGAAGACCATTCACTGTCAGATGGCTCAATAACACCCTTTTGAAGCATGCGTTCTACCTCTATTTTTTCATTTTCTCGTTTACCTAATGGTTGGCGCCTTGGAGCTTGTTTGATTGGCTGTGCATTACCAGTATTTATTTTATGCTTAACTTTATCAGTGCATCCCAACTCGTCGATTGATGTAACAAATATATTCTCATATTTATTTAACACGCCTGCAAATTTTTGCTTTTCTTCGATAGTCAAATGAATTGAACTCTTTTCAAATGTTTCTTTTAGATGGTTTGGTACACTTAAAGGGTCATGACTGGCTTCTACATTTGCTGAAATGTTTGCACATTTAAATAGCTCGCTTTCCTGCTCTTCATATGATGATTTACAAAGTCCAAAACTTTCTCCTGGTTGAAGAAGAAGACTTTCTTTACTATTGTTGATAATACCTACTCCTACATTTGAACTATGCGGATCAATTAATCCTTCTATTACTTGTACATTTGGATCTTTCATAGTTTTAATATTCTCTATATAACCAGTTGCGGGAAGTTGTTCACTTTCAGGAATAGTTACATTTACATAGGCATAGGATTGCGAAGGGATTTCAGTGTGCTCATCCACAGTTACTCTACATACGCGATTAGCTTCATGACTTGAATAACACTGAACACGCTCTCCTGACCTTAATACCAATTGAAGATCATCAAAATCTAACCACTTTGTATGCTTAAGGATAAAATCTTGGCCTATAATACCATCTGTGGTAATGTCACACACTATAACAGGATAATTAATTTCTTCTTGACCTAATTTTATTTGAAATTGCTCTCTTCCATATATTTTTATATTGGAACCATCAGCACCTTGAACACTTATATTTCTATTTCTAACTGAAAGAGATTCAATGCCTAATTGATCAAATGTATGCTTTGAAATAAGTGTAGCTGTACTACCACTATCTAAAAGAAAATTAACTGGTTTTCCATTCATGTAACCTTTAACATAAAGACCATTATCAATACTTGCATTTCCTGTACCTACACGACTATACCTATTGATGCTACTAAATAGCTTTTCTTTTGAACAACTTGTACCCATATAATTGACCGATTCACTTTCTTTATTAAAAACTTCTTTTTCACTCATTTCAGGACACGTCACAACATTTTCATATTCCTCTGAAACAGGTCTCTTTCCTTTGTTCGCCCGCTCTCGACCTACAGAGTAGACGGTGACCCGTTTCCCGAACTTTCATTACCATTTGATGAAGCTCCATGACTGCTGCTCTCACTGTACCTTCGTGGACAATCACGCGCGAAGTGCTCCAGAGAACGACATATATAACATCTACGAGGACCATTATTTCCACGTAGGGATCCCTTTTCAATACGATCTAGCCTTATCTGTATCGATCGCAGAGCCCGCTGCACACCATCCTCAGATCTTTCATTTTTCGGCTGCCATCTAACTTTTCGCTCATAATCACCCTGCCTTTGAACTACCCTTTCATCTTCAGAGCTCTCAATTTGTCTAACCAGGTTTCTTCTTCTTTCAACATTGGATTCATTCAACAAATCTTCGTACCTTTCCACTACCTCTACTGCTTCTGCGATTGTTTGACAATCCCTGTCCATTACTCGGCATTTCATATCGACAGACAACGCTTTACAGAACTGTTGCAAAGCAAGTGTTTCCTGTGCCGCCGGTTCAAGGTTACTATAAGCTTTTCGTGCTAACAACCTCAGATCATCGCCAAAAGCTGCGATAGATTCTCCTACCAACTTAAGCCTTGTCTGGAATTTTGAGACATACCTGGTCTGTTGTCTGGCAGCACCAAACCTCTGTTCTAAAGCATGTGCAAGATCATCGAAAGAACGCTTATCATGTCCTGCAAGAGTCGTATAGAAAGCTCGTGCTTGACCTCGTAAACAAGCTGCCAATGTGAGCAACTTCTCTTGTGTTGTCCACTTGCCAAGTTCTGCACAGTCTTGAAAGTGTGAAAAGTATTGTTCCCAATCTTCATTACCACTGTATTTATCTGGTTTAATAATAATAGCTGGTCTCTTATTATGACAGCAGTTGTTTATATTTTGACATCTGATTTCTCTGTCCTGGTTACGAAACCTTGAAGGGGAGACTTCTTCTTCCCTTATATCTCCTTGACCCATGTTAAACTCAACTTCAGAATCAGAGTCACCCATATTTTCAATATTATGTTTCCAATATTTAAAGCGGACGTTGTTTTACCTGCCAGCAGGGGGTTCTGGTATGACCTTTGACCTTTTGTTGTTGTTTTCCACTAGGACTTTGTAAAGTTCAGATGGTATAATCACTTCAATAACTTCTCGATATAATGGTGATAGACTTTTCTTTAATTCCTTATGAATGTTCCATGTTTTTTTATAGGCAAGAGTTCTGGATATCCTGTAGAATGATATCTTCACTTCTGACACCACGTGTAATACTCGGTATAGGACGGGGTGGTGTGTAGTCCACGGTATTATGATTAAATAGGTATATTCTTGAATGGCCTGTACGCAGATTTATACTAATAATGGAATTAAGAAAAGACTTCACCCTGTTGTTATTTATCTGCTTAATTTAGCTCAATCTGGGTATGTCCAATTTAGTGGTGTAATACCTTTTACTGATTATTTTATAACAACAGCATTTAAAACATTTGTATATTTATTAAACAATAACTGTAATAAGAAATTATATTTGAACACAACAAAACTTGATTCTCTTTATTGTTCTTAGTAATAATATATAAGTGATGTTAACTGTCTTTTCGCGGAAATGGTGCCTTTTCGTTTAATATATAGAGGATACCATAGAAGAATGGTTACGGATGCGCGGTTACGTATATGTTTAATCAATTAATGTAAAATCAAGAGAAAAAGTTACGCCGTAACTAGAATGTAACAGTTGCGCACACAAAGATACACAGTAACTATATAATGACTTAGTTCACCTTGGTTACGGGATGGTAATTAGTTACGGACAATTTACAAAGTTTTCCTAGTGGACCAAAT